TATTATTATTATTATTATATTACATCATCACTTTTTTTGTAACAAAAGAAAGATTATAAAATAAATATAAATCTGTCAAATAAAAATGGCATATTTATGTATTTAAGAAAAAAATTATTATTATTATTATTATTATTATTATTTGACAGTACATCTATAAAATTGCAATAATAATATTTATGGCGTTTTAAACATTAAACCGTTAGGTTTATAAGTGCTTCCATCACATGTTTGGTTCATTAATGTACATTGAAGCGACTCGAATGCTTGAGCAGGATTTCGAGCTTCATCACGACTCTCATCTCAACCGTTTACTGAACGAAACTGATGACAGTTTACTGTGTGTGTGAATGTTGTGTTGTGAGCCCAGACATCTTTAACACATAAACTGGAGAGTGAGCGTAACGATGGCCATCAGCGTTACTGTCATTTTGTGGAGGAAATGGAGAAATTATGTTTTTTTGTTTTTTTTTCACCAACAATTACTTCAGTCCAGGATTATTTTATCACCATTTAGATACTAATTATTGTTAATATTTTGAAGTAGATATTATTTTAATATTTTCTCTTTTCATTATAATTCGAGTTAAAATTTCAGTATTTTTTTTATTAATTAATAATTTTAGATTTTGAAGTTTTTAGAATTTTTTTAGAATATATATTTTTTTAAGTTTTTAAATGTGTATACATTTTTTAAATTAACTTTTAGTTTTTGATTTTACTTTATTTAGTTTTAGTTATTTTAGTATTTCAGCTTAAACTACATTAAACATTTTTTTTTCATATGTTTTTATTTCTGTTCTGTTCTTTTTTATTTTATTTTATTTTTTCATTTCTATTAATATTTCTTATTGTGATTTTTTTTTCAGGATTCTTTGATGAATATGAAATGTAGCATTTATTTGAAATATTTTGTGAAAGAAAAAAAGAAGAGCAGTAGTGTGTATATATATCAGTGTGTTCCACTACAGTAGGCGTTTCAGAGTGCCGTTGGTCACATGACGTTCAGAGCTCATGTGATTGGCTCAGAAGAGTCTGCCAGCAGTAATGAGCACAGATGTCTCCAGCCAAGCAGCTGTCATTGAGATGAATGTGTGAGAGATCAGAGCTCCTCCGGCTCGACGTAGACCCAGATTCACTACAGACCAGCGAGATTCACCAGATCTGGCCTTTGTGGCCTCGTATTTCTTCACTGTATTCGTTTAGCCGTTACCCTTCTCTCTTTAGCAGATCTGTGTCTAAACATTGTTCTCCTGTTGACTCTAAAGGTCTAATTAACATATTCACAAAAACACGAGAGATAATTATTTCTGCAGTCATGATTCGGAAAACTCAGATAATTGAATTCTCCTCTTCATTTCCCCCCAAAAAAGCCAAGTCAGCGGTCTATGAAGTTAATTCTCTTCATTATGGAATCATGCATTCTTCCACACGCAAACGTCTCCAGCACAGCATTGAGTTACTCATTACACAACTTCATGAACTCGCTGTGTGATGCACACATCTCCATAAACGCCCCACTCTTTCAGAGATTCAATAACAGAGTATTATTATTATTATTATTTTTTTTTTTGTTTGTTTGTTTTTTTTTAGTTATTTTATTGGAGCTTGACAGTCGATGCATGGACTGATGTTTTTTTTTTATGGAAACAACATAGAGAGTGAAAGTGGCTTAATAGTGGCTGAGTTTTAATTTTTAGCTGAACTATGTCTTTCCGCATGAGACACAAGCTGGATAAAACAGCACAAGGGTTTAATCAAACTCTTACAGACGGGTGACAAAATGAAAAATGACAGAAGCTCAACAGCAGATGCAGCGCAAACAGATGTGAACACATTTAAATCATCTTCAGATGAAAACAGGTCAAGCTCACGCACCTGAGTGTGTCCTGCGGGACTCGCAATACATCTTTAATTAAGAAAACAATCTTCCTCCGCTCAGAGTTCACTAAAATGAGACCTGCTTCTGGCTTTACCGTCTTTACTGCTGCTGTTTTTGTTGAGAAGTTTCCCGTCTGAGAACAACATTTAATCTGTGTTTATGGAACCGGAGTTTATTCAGCCATATAAAACATTTTGTAAAAAAACATTTGTTTGGCCAATCCATCAGTCTTTTAGACTTTTCTTTTTTTTGTCCTCGAACAAAAGTCTGTTCATTAGATTGTGTATGATTATTTTAAATATAGAATACGTATCAGTGCTGGGTAGTGACTGATTACATGCAATCTGGATTATGTAATAAGATTCCAAAAATTAAGTACTTGTAATTAGATTATATTACAGTTTAAAATGCTCATAATCAGATTACAGTATTTTTTTATGGATTACATGATTGCATATTATTCACACAAGGGCAGTAAATCATTCATCATTTATTAAAATATTAAATAAATTAAATTTTCCTTTCTAACCACCTACTGTGTGTGATATAATTTAGCTTTGACTATATTCACAAATGTTGTGTAAATAAAATAAACTTTCAGTAACTGCTGATTCTGGAAATCTGGACACACATATTTCAAACCAGGAAGACTTTGGGTGTGTGATGCCATCACAGTGTTCATGTTTATTAATGTAATGCAGGAATGCCCAAACGCTTTTGTCAGCCAAACCCCTTAAAATAAGTTGTTTACTTGAAATATCTCTGAGGAAGTTAATATTTCAAATATTTTAACAACACATTTGCATGTTTACAGTTCTCTGGTGTGGGTTAATGGTCACAAATAAAACATTTCTATAGTTTTACATAGTTTCAATTATTTTTATTTTACATGTTTATGATTTAATTAATTATTAACTTTTTATCAACTCACTAGTCACTCACTAATGTTTACGTACGGGATAATGCACGGCTAGCTGTGTGAATTACCTGTGTCTGTGCATCTCTCTCTACAAACAATGAAGCTGTAAGTTTAGTTACTTCAAAAACAGCGATTTGACCTCCTCGTTGCTGAGGAATATAATGTAGCGATTCAATGCCTAGGCTATTTTAGTAATAAAAGTCATGGGGCAGCGCTGACCAGAAGTCTCTGTGCTCATGAATGATCTCTCTCGCTCTCTGTGTGCATCTATTAAAGCAACGCATTTATATAGAACGGTGATTAAACTATGTATTAAACGGGTTTA